AGTTGTATAATTCTTGGATGAAATGGGATGATTTTGACGATGTTGTTATAAATTGTTAGAATCATCCCTTATATTCGGTTAACACAAGCAAACAGGTGTTGTTTGAAAAAAAAATGAAGGGTTACCGACATAAAAACACATTAAAGTTTCAGTTTTGGTTTTAAATGATCATTTACCTTTTTTTTGTACCCCTTAGACCATCAAACTCGAAATTTTACCCGTCTAAAACACTATTTTGCTTAAAATTACCAATTTATCGGTCATGATTGTTGAATATACATTGACTTCTGATACTTAAATCCTCCCCTTCCACCACCGTGTCCACCCTTCTATTTTCCCCTTTCTCTCTTTTCTGCGGTAAAGGGGCCCTAATTTCCTCTCACAATCTTCCATGGTTTGCATCAATCGAAAATCATCACCATCCACCTCTTCCCACTTCCACCGCCATTAAAAAGCATTCAAGTTTCCGATTTCATTTGATTATATGCTTGGATGATTTGCGATGGAATGTTCTCTCAAATCGATTTAGTGGGTTAAACTGCGATGAAAACCACACACTGTATGAAGTTATCATTCAAGAAATTATGTTACAATAATTTAAGAAGTTACTTCTCCATTACCACACAAACTGTGCGTGGTGGAGGGGTTGTGATATTGCACATCTTCCTTCTGCTTATCTCTACATTTCCCTCCATCAGTTGATTACCAAGTCTTCAATGAAAGGAAATGGAAGAAAAAAAACAGGGGGTTGGAGTGTAAAGACGATGAACAGGCTTCATATTTTCGTGTTCGGTAAAAATTGAAGAACATGGCAACTTCAGTTCCCCCTTTCTCTAAACATCATGTGTGGATCAAAGAAAATAAGATGATACGCAGGTCAAAATCGATTTGCAGATGTAGCTTAAAGATCAAAGAACAAGGGCCAGATTTAGAATTAGAGGAGCAGAGAGGAGTAAAGAGTCAGTGCAATGGAGGAGAAGGGCGGCGTGAGGAAAAAGGGTGGCATGCAGAAGAAGAGGAGGCGGCGGCAGGAGGGTTGAAAAAGAAATATAGATTATGTAATACAAGTGGAATTGATTATAAGAAATAGATGATGAGCAGGTCAGAATCGATTTGCAGATGTAGCTTAAATATCAAAGAACAAGGGCCAGATTTAGAATTAGAGGAGCAGAGAGGAGTAAAGAGTCATTGCAATGGAGGAGAAGGGCGGCGTGAGGAAAAAGGGTGGCGTGTAGAAGAAGAAGAGGAGGCGGCGACAGGAGGGTTGAAAAAAGAAATAGAGATTATGTAATACAAGTGGAATTGATTATAAGAGAGTCAAAGGTCAACGTCTACGTGGCATAAAATATGCCATGTGATCTACGTTTTAGCTGAATTTATATGTTAACGCAGAACAAAAGGTGATCTTCCCCTTAATAACAGGTCAATTGTGAGTTTATACCTTTAAAAGGAACAAAAACTAGTTTAAGGACCTTTTAAAACCAAACACAAAACCTTGTTAGGTTTTTATCAAAATTTAGGGAAAAAAGACAAAAACAATGGAAAAGGATGGTGAAAAGAATTTGTTACAGGAAGACTTTGTGAGATTGATCAAGGATATTAGGGGTGAAGCCAGGATCTAAGAATAACAGGGCTGATGGTCTAACGTCCTAATAATATATTAAAATATAGTGTTATATCCCAATGAAAATATAGTCTAAAATTTTATAAGAGACATTAAATTGAAGAATTTTGAGAAATAACAAAAAATGAGGGGTGGTTTAAAGAAAATAACCAAGAAAAAATAGATTTCGGAAATTGACCAAATGATCCGCACAACACCCTCTGTGGATCGATTAAAGCTTCTACGGATCCCTCGCAGCTCTGCGGAATTGCGTGGAATCGAGTTTTATGCGGAATTACAGGGATAAATTTGTAAATTCACAAAAAATACCCCTTTACGTTACACAGCTCCGCAGAAGCAGGCTAGGGCAGTCGATTCGCGAAGGAACTAGTGCGGTCTTCGATTCCTGGACGTCGAACTGAAAATGTCGGGGCGATCTCGATTCCTGGAGCAGCTGCACTCCGATGTGTTATCCGATGGATATGGAACTCAAGTAATATTTCAATTTTTTTTCCTAATCTTTGTATAAACTCGGAAGTAGAAATTGATTATATGAATTTGAAATTGATAGGTTAAATGTTACATATAAACATGTATGTTTGTTAGGGTGTTAGGACTGGAATCGAAGAAATAAGAAATCAATTTTTCCACTGGTTTTCGTCAAGAACAGATCCACAGAGACCCTCTGCTCAAGAACAGATCCGCAGAGGAGCCCTCTGCGGAACGATAAACCCCACTGCAGAATCTTTTTTTTTTCGATTTTCTATAATTATTATCTCTTAAAATGGATTATTATCTCTTAAAATGGACCATTGAATATTGAGATCATTTTATGTTGATTATATGTAAATTAATATTAAAATCGATTTCCAATTATTTCTATAATTTAAAAAAAACATTGAAAATTTCTATAATTATTATTAAAATGGACCATTTATGTAAAATTTATAATATATATGAGACCATTTCTATAAAAATTATGTAAATTTGTTATAAAAAAGGGACAGTTTATTTTGAAAGATAATTATTCACGTAGACCATTGTATAAAAAGTTATAGAATAAAAACATTATTTTTGTTGCATAAAATTGCTAAAAAACAATATATAAGTACAATGTTATAAAAATAAAAGTACAATGCTATTTAAAGTTACTTTTCAGTATAATTTTTGAAATTTTTGCATATATGTTTAATCTTTTGCAACATAGTTTGAGTGGATGGGCTGCATAATGTACTTTTAAAGGGGCGTTGGGGACTGTGTTGAAAAAGTACATCACAAAACTAAATAGTAGGCGGGTTGAATTATTTCGAGAGACAGCTTTTGGGATCTTCATTGGTATGCCAATCCCGAATGGTGACCCGATGCTCTCTTACTTGATGATGTTGCATGAGGTTCGTGATGTAGAGGTAGCCACGGCTGGGAGGTTTCAGTTCGAGTTACAAGACAGGGTGGTTGAATATGGTGAAACGGAATTTTGTTTGATTGGCGGTTTGAGATTTGGACCGTATGTTTATATAATAAATACAAAAGTCAGCACAAGTTCAACATTAAGGAATCGTTGTTCCCCAATGCGAGAGATGAAGATTTACGACCGAAAGATTTAGAAGACTACATAAAAGGGCTTGCATTCTCGACGTGTAGCGATAAGGATGTGGTAATGGTTATGCAAATGATGTTTTTGTTGAGAGGTCTCATAGGACGAGACAACAATACGTGCATTCCGCCGGCAGTGTATGAGCTAGCTGATAGTCAATATAATTGGAACATGTATTAAATTTATTATTTATTATTTATTTATAAATACTTGATGATTTATATTAATTATAATGAGTACGACAGGTTTGCATGGGGTACGTATTTGTGGAGGTATAGTGAAACACAATTACAATTATGGTTTGGTAAAATCTATAGATATTTACGAGATAATGAGAGTGTGGGTTACGCGAAGAGGATGAAGTATACGGTGACCGGTTTTCAGCTTCCGTTTAAGGTTAGTTTTAGGTGTAATTACTTATATTTTTTAAGTGCTTATAAGTTTGGACAAAGCATAATTTTTTCTCGTAATACTAGGTATGGATTTTGAAGACATTTCCAGAATCTTTGAGGTTTGCGCATCACACAGAAAATGAAATTCCAAGAATGAGGGCATGGAGAATAAAAACACAATTATCTCTCGAGCAATGTTTACGTATATTAGACGTTTCAGTGGTATAGTTATACATTCCTTATATTAATTATACATGTTTAAAAATTACAACAATTTCATATACTCAATTTTAATTTTTTAATTTTGCAGGAAAATAACATCCCACGTGTTTTTGAACCAACGCCTGTTGAGATCAATTTGCAATTCTTAATGCGTTATGTAAGTTGGACTCTAGACAAAGTGTAGTCGCCACCGCAACAACATAGTCCTCCTAAGGAGCGGTCTCCATCACCGCAACAACAATGTCTTCCTAAGCAGCGGTCTCCATCACCTCACCTGTCTCAGTTTCAGGGAGCAGACTACACCTCAGGCTCTCATTTTTGGGGAGCAGATTACACCTCAGCCTCTCATTTTCAGGAAACATACCACAAACCTCCGGAAGACAGTAAAATAGACAAGTTATTTGGCGTTGTTACTCAATTGAAAACCACAATCGAGCACTTTGGGAAGAGAATGGATAAATGGGAAAAAGATAAATAATTTGGTGTGAACGATATGGAAAATGTGGATGCGGGGGAAGCATTTTATCATGGTTTGGATCCCGAGTCGGGCCATACGTATGTGCAGACGCCACCGCCTTTTGTTGAAGTTGAAGATAACACGGTTACACCGTTAAAAGGGCAGTTAAAAATGAAATCAAAATTTTGTAGGGAGCCTTACACACAGGTATAAAATTAAGTAATTTCTATTTATATAGTATATAATCGTTCCAAATTAATTAACATATTCATTTTGTAGGTTCCGTCGACGGAACCATTGAAGAACAGAAAAGGGAAAAAACCGCAGAAGTCCAATAATGTAGAAAAAAGACCATTACTATTGGACGGTTATCTCGATAGTGATAATGAATTTTGGAAATTGTGGGGAAAGAAGATGGGAGTGATATTTTTGGAGCATAAACTTTTAAAAGGTATTGATATGAATTGGGAATTTTGGTCAAGTTTACTTGGTATTGGCTCTCGATACTTGCTCTCTGAGGCACCACACATCCCTTATTTTATATTACAAAAGTGTTGGATAATTAATTGTACGAAATGAAATGTTTTTTTTTCTAACACGCATCATTTGGTTATCTGGACGTCCCTACTCAAGGAAATAAAGTCGTCGGCTGGTAGGTGGACGATTATTAATCCTGAAGGCACGACTTTGGAACCTGGGAAACAACATTATTTGAGGCGTGTAGCAGCCAGGATGGTTGATGGACCACATTGGAAGGATATTGATCGGGTTAGTATATTTATTTATATATATCATATAATATTAAATTTGTATATATCTAATAACTTATCATTTTTTTGAAGGTTTTAATTCCCATCAACATACCGCACCTGCATTGGTATTTGGCTGATTTGGATCTCCTTACATGGAAAATGAGCATATATGATTCAGCCGAATGGTGTGGTTTTTTTAAAACATATGCGGGTGACGGTAGTTTCAAATTGTTGGGAGATAGTATATTAAGTGAACTAGACCACATATCATATTGGGCCCATTTTCCCAATAGACATAAACCTACTAAGATGGAATTCGTTAAAGCTAAACATGTGACGCAGCAGGAAAAAGTAAAAGAATGAGAAAAACGAGATTGTGGAGTTTATGTGTGCATGTTCATGGAAATGCTTACATCGGGTGTACCAGTGGAGACACATCAGTCCCCTAGAGATACGGAATTTAGTTACCGTAATAGGATGGCAGAAATTATTTGGAATAGTAGACTTTGATTGTATTATGATTATTGATTTAAGAATATTTTCTTATGTTTTGATTATGTTATTTGGAATAGTAGACTAGTATAGTAGAGGTTTGATTAAGTTAAAATACAAGATAATACATATAACAAAACAAACGTACAACAACAGCTACATTAAGGCTAATTACCAATTGTCATTGGGATTTTACAAAAGATACAAAATGCAGCACATTACCACTTTAGGCTGACTTTACAAAAGATACAAAAAAACTTCACATCCCAATACATACACCTTACACTAACAGCTACACCAAAAGCTTCACATCCAACACTAATTAGCTAACTTAAAACAAAACAAACATACCCAACAACCAGAACAACTACAAACATCTTGTACATACGTATGCTCTTATTGGAATCACACATCCCCTTCTCCATGCTTGCTACTAGACTCTTCTCCTTACTCAGGAGAAACTCCAACTCAACATTCTTAGTCCTCAAGTTTTTTATGACACCAAGATCCTCTTTGGAATCCAACTGCTGCTTCATGGAATAGATGAGGTTTTTATAGTAACTATCTTCCAGTGCAACATCTTTCCATTCAAAGTAATCACATTTCCTCAGTCTTGTCTGTATGGAACCCACATGAATAAAACATCAAAACATAATCACTAATCACCAAATGCAATTTAAGAAGCCCTAAAAAATCTTGCATTAACAAATCAAACTAGATCGAAGCTTACCAAGTTGTTGTTGGAGTTCCAAAAACGTCTGTCGGGGTTAGTGAGCTTCCAGCATGTCCGATCCTTAGCTGGAACATCGCAATCATAGTTGTTAACATCGTCTTTAACAAACACACGAGCAACTTGGAGGCGATTTCTTGCATTAGGCGAGCTCGCAGACATTGTGTTGAAGAATCGAACAAGCTGATTATATAAAGGAGGGTGTTTGCTTCGACTTTTCACGAAGGGGTTAGAAAGAAATGAATGAGGTACAAATCGGGATTTTAATTAATAGCATAATTGGGAAGATAACACGTCAGGTGCCACGTTGGAAGTCCAAGTAAGGGGTTTTTGACACATCACTTAGCCACGTAAGAAGGAAACCGGTAGTGTACACCTCTGCAGATCAGTTATAGAACTGTTTTCTGTGGATCAGTGTACAGCTCTGCATAACTGTTACGGAATACGCAAAATTGTTTTCTGCAGATCAGTATACACCTCTGCGAATCTGTGTACACCTATGCGGATCAGTGTACACCTCTACAGATCAGTTATAGAAGTTATAGACGTATTTAAGTGGTTTTTTGTGAGTTTGTGAGTTTCAATTACCAGTAGAAGTTGTTTTTTCATTGTGTTTGTGGAGAGTGATTTGTAAAATGAGTTTTATTATCTTGTGTACGGGAGGTTGTGGCAGTTAGTTAATGGAGATGAGGTTTATGTTATAAATAATGTGAAAAACTATGTTTTAAAACTTCCTCCTAACATTGACCACAAAATGTTATTACAAATGGTGAGAAGTAAGGCAGGTGTGTTAAATAGTCACATATGTTTGTCTTTTAAACACCCGGAGTTAGGGTATGTCATGGAGCTTGGAGATGAAACTGATGTATTTCAATTGAGACATGTAATGTCTAAATCAAAGAAGGCGGTGCATTTGTATTTAACGGTGGTAGGTGAAGAAGCTGAAGAGCAAGCAGTGGTTATCAACCAGTTTAATCCAACAAAAACTAATAGAGGTCGTAGAGAAAGCCAATGTGATGGAAACCGTTCAAGGGGAAGAGGAAATGAAGTGTCAGTGGGTGATGAAAAAAAAAGTTTCGGTTACTGATAAATTTGTATCTGATAATGTTACTTTTGTATCAGATAATGATAAAGAAGCAAAAGTGGGCATGACTGAATTACAACGTCAAAATTTGTTCGAGCTTGGAGAAGTTCCTGAAATTCATGATCGAAGATGTGAAGAAAAATCAAATGAAGGGTGGTCGGATGATGAGTACACGTAACAAAAAAAAACTGCTTTAATCCATGGTATTGTATTCCTTCTATTCCTGATTGTCCAGAACCTATTCTTGAACCTGGACCATTTCATAGTTTAGGTCAGAATGATAAATTAATTGTCAATCAAACCTATAACACCAAAAAAGAGATAACATTTGCTGTTAAATTCAAAGCCGTTAGAGAAAAGTTTCAGATAAAGGTTGAAAATTCTTCAAAATCTCGGTACCAGGTTGTTTGTATGCAAGAAAACTGTCATTGGCGTTTATACGCATCTCTTATTAAAGGAACAGAAATGTTTGAAATTAAGACGTTTAATGATGAGCATACATGTTCTTCATTGCTTATACACCCAACTCATAGGCAAGCAAATAGCGAAGTTGTGGGAACCATAATACATAACATTATGGGTCAAGGAAGTTTGAGAGTTTGGAAGCCTAATGCTATAATTAGAGATATGAATGCTTTGCTACAAATAAATATGAGTTATTCACAAGCGTGGCATGCTAGAGAATTTGCTCTGGGATTGATGATGGGGACCCCCGAAGAATGTTTCTCCAAACTTCCAGTTTATTTTCACAATCTGAAGAAACATAATCCTGGTACTGTGGCGTACATAAAAACTGATTCGGAGGATCGTTTTGAGTATTGCTTTTTCGCTATTGGATGCGCGGTAATATATTTTTAAATATGTTTGTTATTTTCTTAAATGTTTATAAACAAATTATATTGTTGATATATTAATGGTTTTTATATTGTTGTTGCAAATACGTGCTTTCAGAGAGTGTTGTAGAAAAGTTATTATTATGGATGGTGCTCATTTGAAGGGAAAGTACAAAGGCACCATATTGCATGCAGTAGCCATGGATGGAAACAATCAGATCTTGCCTATTGGGTATGGAATTTGCCCAAAAGAGACTACGGATTCTTGGACATGGTTTCTTGAAAAACTACATGAATGCATTGGTGATGTGGAAGGTCTGACAATGGTCACAGATAGAGCACCCACAATTGCTGTAAGTATTCAAAATGTTTTTCCAAATGCTCAACATGGATTGTGTGGTTTTCATCTAATAGGAAACATAGTCCACACCTTTGGAAAAAACAAAAAAACAACAATTTTGTTTTGGAAGCTGGTAAGAGCTTACAAAACCACTGAGTTTGAATTTTATTGGGGGAGACTTTGTAATATAAGAGATGATGTAGCGACATATCTCAGTCAAATTCCACTTGAGAAATGGACCAGAGCGTATTGCCCTACCACAAGGTATGATTATATGACCTCAAATAGTGTGCAGTCCATGGATGTTGTATCAAATAAAGCAAGGAAGTTGCCTATATTACCACTTCTTGAGTTCTTTCGCGCACTTATGCAGAAATTGTTTTACAAACGGCGGATAGCTGCAGGAATGATTATGTTTAATTTTAAATTATATGATAAGTGTCATATATATTAATATATGTTTGTTTTAACAGAAAAAGTACAACAATACTTACAAAGTGGGCTGAAGATATGGTTAAAAAAATAAAGAGGAGATTCAAGGATGGTCGGTATCCGGTGTTGACAATACAACATATCAAGTGCATGACTTCAAAAGTGGCGTCACAGTGAATTTGAGGGAAAAGACTTGTTCTTGTAGATATTGGCAACTAACTGGTTTGCCATGTGGTCATGTGATAATGGTTTTAATGCACTTGAAAAGTGATCATTGTGGGCATATGGCTATAGATGCTAATAAAATTGAAACATATCGAAGAACGTACGAGCATGCCGTATACCCTCTTTCAGAACTTAGTGATTGGGAGGTTCTGGATGACCTTATGGTTTTTAACCCTCCTATGATGGAAATACGTCAAGCCGGTAGACCAAAAAACACCAATTGTATTCCCTCTCAAGGTGAGGAACCATAAATAAGAAGGTGTAGTAGATGCCATAGCACAACTCATAATGCAAGGACGTGTAAGTAAATCGTTCCAAAGAACCAAAGTAAAAGTAAAAAATGTACTGGGGCGTCATGGAGTGGGACAAAAGCGACAAAAGAGGAACCGACGCAAGCGACCGAAAACCAATGGCAGCATGAGCCAGAGAACCAATGGACGCAACATACCGAACAATAATGGCAGCAACAACCAGACAACCAATGGACACAACAGACCGAACATCAATGGCAGCAACAGCCACATAACCAATGGACGTAAGGGACCGAATACCAACCGCAGGAAGAGCCACAGAACCAATGGCAGGGTTGCACCGAGTACCAATGGCAGCAAGAGTCAGATAACCAATGGACGCAAGTGACAGTCAACTTAGGGACACAAGCAACAGAAAACCCATGGACGGAATACGAGAACAGATCAAAGTTTCCGTGGTTCGATTTGAATGAATGAAGTTTATTTCAACGTATGTTTATTATGAAGGTTGTATGTTTATGTTTTCTAAAGTATGTTTTGTAACCTACTTAAAGTATGTTTATTATTCAGAATACCGGTGTGTGTAATTTTATAAAAAAACATGGAATATTTGTATAATTTTAATTATGTTATTTATATGCACCGGTTTGTATTACGTTATTTATATGTATTTGGTTTGTATTAGGTTATTAACGAAACCAGTTGAGTTAACTTCTACTTTATTTCATTGAACATAAAATACAAAACAGTACAAATACATGGAAAACATACATCAGTAACAAACGTATTATATAAAACATTTCATTATTTTTAACCTTTTTTTGTAAATTTTTTTACATAATAATCACATAAGGTATTGGTGTATTTAAAAAAAATTAATATTAATAAACGAAAATGAACGCAAAAAAAAACGCAAAAAATGACAAAAAAATTTAAAAAATTAAAAAACCCAATTTCCGCAGAGCTGTAGAGGGAT